TTGTAGGGTCCATGTGCCTTTACTGGCTAAGGAAACAACATCTGAAATGACACATACCCCTATCTATGGCTCCACGTCCCTACAGCCTGTAGGACCTGTTACTGGTGCAGGGCTTTACCCCATCGCAAAACCCCAAGTGCTAAAGCCAAAGCCCCAAAAGAGGTATCCGATTCGAGTCCCAAGCCGTACTTGAAGCATCAGGGGCTTCAGCAAACTTGGTTTTACATACCCGATACCTTGATTCGGGGCACTAGAGTATTTGGTTTCCTTTGGACTTAGAGTGCTCTCTATGATATTATCTATTTCCAATTCACATGTCGCATGATCCTTCACACGCACCCCTCCCGCCAACTCGAACTACAAAAAGAACCATCGACTCTTCATCACCGAAATCCCATGCCCCTTTTCCCCTTAACCTTCGGTTTAAGGCTTCAGGGTTTAAGAGGTCAAGGCTTAGGAGAGGTGTGCCCCAACTTCTGGAAACGCGGAGCATGACGAAACATGGATCCAAGGATGAGCTTCTTTACTTTCAGTGCACTCTACCTATAGTCTCCATTGTAGTTCCTTTTTTGGTTTAACCAATTAGATACTACAAAAAAGGAACTACAATGGAGACTATAGGTAGAAGACGGAAGCTCCTTCTGTTTAGGGATTGCACGGAAGATCCTAGGAGAGTTCTTTTCGAGCAGATTGCAGACCCCAGCGAGAGGTTTGTTTTTGGGTTTAGGGAACCGAGCTTTAGGGTTTAGAGCTTCCAGGTTTTAGGGTTTGAGCTTTATAAGGATTCCGTATTCTAGTTGTTTGGCATGGGTGTCGGCCGAGGCGCATAGAAAACTTTACGCACACGGCTCCGTTCCTCGTGAACGGATGCCTTGGCCTGAAAACAGTTGGGCTGCTGGCGTTGAGGATGTGTACTGTAAAGCCCTAAGGGTGCGTGTGCCTAAATAGTATGTACGTTGGCCTTGAAGTAGTCACCATATAGGCACTTTGGGGCCAAAGTATACACTGTTTGGGTACATAGACCCCTAAGTAAGGATCATGGCACTCAGTGCAAAAAAACAAAATTAGAAAATTGCCTATAGCGCCAGTGAATGTACATATGACAGCACTTACGAAGTATTCGGATCTTTAAGGTGAGTGTCTTCGGACGGCACAAGTTCGGTTTGACTGGGAGCTAGATTTGTCTTTTAAGCGCCTCTTTTCCGACTTGCAGGTGCCAGTGGGAGTTAGATTTTAGTGCAAATTAGCGCTTCTGTTCCACGGAATGCTTCCGACTATGTCTGCATTCGTGCCTAGTGGCTGCTCCACTAGGTCACTAGGTTCCCGCAGTCATGACTCATTCATAGCTGCATGCTGTGAACTGTCAACCAAGCGAGGGTCTTGCTTTTCCAGCTACAGATATGGGGCGACGGGAGGCTGCTTCAACATCTTCCTTCTCTAGTATGAGGAGAAAATCGACCGATGTGAACCGCAATTTTCTTTATGTGGTAGGCCCCCTTCAATGTATGCAACATGCTACATGACTTGTTTAGGGCTGCAGCCCTAAACCTCACAACCCTACACCTTAAACCCGCAACCTGTAAGCCCCATCCGATGCATCAAAGCAGCCGGAAGTATGTTCATTTTACCATACATGATAATTATTATCCTATTTAAAAATATTATTGAAGATATTAAAGTCTGCGGGACGATACGGGGATGTTAGACTCAGTCTCTGATACACGAAGCTTAGAACCCTTGCTCTGAACTTCTCTGTAGATTCCCTACTGGGGTTCAGGGATTACAGACCCAAAGGGTCCTTACACACTACCATTATGGAATTAGGTCCTAAAAGACCATCCCTATAATGGTTTTGGGGACTTAATTCCATAACAGTAGTGTATGTGGACCCTCTTGGAAAGCTCAAGCCTGCACCTTGTCCACGCTGTCGCCTGGACCTCCGCACTTCTGGTAGCCTTCGCCGGCAGCCTGGAGCACAGGAGGAGTTTGGGTTTATGTAAGGTTTATTTTTAAAGGTAGGGTTTAGGGTTTATAGCGTTTATGGAGGGTTTAGGGTTTATAGCGTTTATGGAGGGTTTAGGGTTTAGGGAGGAGTTTGCGCCTTTCATGCAGCCTTGGTTTTTGGAGTTGTTTTTGGGCTGGTGTTGCAGGCTTACGACGATTCTAAGGTTGATGATATCGTTCCCGTTGGGATGGAGTGGATGTGCAGACGATCAGCTTCAGCTATGCAGCTTTCTATGGCACCCCAACCTTGCAATGCCCATGCGCTCAGATACATGTTGCATCCTCCTGGACAGCACATCGAGACATCCCAAAATCACACGATAACAGCCAACCTCCTTGCGAACACCTCCGGTTCAGGGTTTACCTATAGCCTATTTTCGTCTACATTGTGGCTCCTTTTCTAGGTCGCCCTATAGGATCGTAAACACAAAAATTGTTGAACGCCAGAAAGGAAACACAATGGAGACCATAGGTAGGGACTCGAACCACTGACAGAGCCGGCATTGCATCAACAATCGGATCCCCTGGAAACCACGCTGGCACTCTAGGGCTACAAGGGCAACACAATATTCAATTAACGGCGCTGAGGAACATCCAGCGAGTCCTGACACGACTCCTTTCCAACAAGCGGTCATGAAAGTCTACGGTAAACCCCCGAAGCCCAAAACCCTAAACCCTAAAGATGTCTATCTGTGTCTGTCCGCCTTTTTACCATCGGATAACATACTGACTGAATGGCATTCTGAATCCACTATGAAACCGATTTAACAGAACTCGGAACAACTGTACAGTCTTTTCGAGACCGTAAGCCTTACCCAAAAGATATAAAAAAGCACCTCCTCCGGCGGCGCTCCGCTGGCGGCCGCTTTCCCCCAGCGCCGGCCCATCGCAGGGTCCACGATAAATTTCTCTTTGCTTGCGGAAAATAAAGCATGAAGCTATGCCCGCATCGTTCTTGTGTACATACATACAAAAATACCTACATAAATAATATATAGTTTTTTCTACATACATACATACATACATACACACACGTGCGTGTGTACGAATTTATGGTCAGTGCTTGCATTGGTTACTGTCGAATGCTTCCTCTTCACCAGGTTGAGAGTTCAAGTGACTTGATTTTTGGGTATCAGTTTTCGGGCATTTAACATGTATACGTTTATACGAACCAGGTTACTCGCAATCAGGAACGAGGGTTGGGTCGGCGGAAGAGTCTTTGTGAAACACTAGGCTCGGGAAACACGGACGTGGTCTGATGCAAATGCCAACGGCTGAACGTGGAAATGAATCAGCGGACAAGACGACGCTTCAATAGTTACTGTTTGATATACTACGATTAGGCGACTTGATAATTCGATAACAATGGAGGGCCCCGCAAGCTGCACCTAAGTACAAGAGGGTAGGGACTTATACATATACCCTAAAATCATGGAGCCCTAAAAAAGTTAGATATAATTGAAAAAGGCTGGTCAACTATGTTGTGTTTGGGTCCCAATAGCACGGTCCCTAAACCCTATATTAAGCCTTGGAAACCCTGTATATGGGTGGTTGTCAAAATTATGGTCCCTTTTTGAGTCCCTATTCTAGTACGCTTTAGGGTTCCGAGCCCTTAACGCTTACAAGAGCAGATATAGTATAGTTACCCAGAGGATCCAAAGTAGCTCCTTTTTGGGAGTACCTTATAATATTCTATATATGTGAACCCCAAAAAAGAACTACTTTGGTGCCTATGGGTAGGAATAACACTACAATAAAACTCATAAAGACGGCTCGCACCTACAAGTAACAATCATCTTCATAGTAAGAGTATCGAGGCTTCAGGGCTCAACGTCTGAGCTTTCGGGCTATGTTGATTTGCTAAACCACCTAATATCAATACTTAAATTATTATCAAAATGTATCATTATATGTTGTCTTCGTTTGGGTTTCGGCCCTAAGGTGCGCCTTCGGTATTTTCAAAGTCTAACCTTAAGCCCGAAACCCAAACCGTCAGCCCACAATGGGAGCCCAAAGGAGCTCCTTTGAAACGGCTGATGATATGAATCCTGCATTACCCATAAGAAGGAATATAAACCATAATTCCCCAGGAATATACCATAGTTCCCTAGGAATATACCATAATTCCCCTAGGAATATATACCATAATTCCCATAGTTTAGGGTCATTAAGGTAATGCAGGATTTATATCATCAACCGAAGGTCATCTCACGGATGACCAAAAAAGTAAGGAACCCAAGCCCTTTACTTGCTACCCCAAAAAGTCACAGGAATAGAAGGTTAAACTTTCCGATTCCTGCTAAACTATAAGGACTCCAAAAGTTTCCAATACTGTGGGGGACTTAATCACCCCGTTGGGAATATTAGGCTAGAGTTGTATACGGATTGCTATATACATATTTATATATATATATATACATATATATATATGAGAGAGAATACTACGTGTGTTAAGGAACTGCGATCCCTAACGTACTCTCCGCTCTCCTCCTCCTCCTCCTCCTCCTCCTCCTCCTCGTGCCGGAAACCTTCAAGATCTGCTCGATGCCTCTACTAGAACCCGAGATAACGCAAGTGAGGTCCTTCAAACAACCCGAAAGCTTAAAGGCCTGGTGTCGTGTAGTAGATATGTAGGTTACTGTTTGGGAGAGTATATGATGATTACATACTTAGTCCGTTAGGCTGTAGCCTCACATGTCAACTTCTCTTCTCCAAAGTAGTTCAAGTTGCGCGCTAGGGATCGAAAACGTCTTATCGTTCGTGCTTGGGAGCTTGTTCCATCTTGCCCTACGATGATATAAAGCAGGCAGCATGCCTCTCCTCATTCTACTAGCCTAGTCAAGCTAAGTCAAATTTACAATTGAGCCTAAGAAGTCGAGGTTCGCTGAATTCAACCTAAGTTTCTGAACAAGAGCTCCGAAACAAGGAAGGGAGCGACTACTGCTACGGAAGTCACTCGCTCTCTGGATAGAAAGGGATCGACAGAGCGCCCATGCCTCATGCCCGGCATCTGGCTGCTGACGGCGCTTTGCTGATCCCAACCCTCGGACAGCGAGGATTTTAAATCAAAGGGGAAAAGCAGGGACCCTTAATGGGGACCCCCACCCTGTAATGGGCTATATATAGGTATATAATCGTTATATTAAGGGTATATACATAGGGGTCCTTATTAAGATTCTTTCGGCTGAGAAAAGCGGCAGAGTTCAGATTTCCGGCTTGCAGTTACGGCGGTAAGGATTCAAGGTCTGCAAAGAGGGATCTCAGAAAACCAGAGGCATGATATGGTGGCGGGGTTTGAACTCTGGATGCTCTGGGTTATGATGACTGAACTAGGGTAGTTCTGTGGTGTTTGAGGGTGGAGGCGTGTTTGGCGACTTCTCCGCCGTACAGTTTAGGAGTTCCGGATTCGGGGCGAGAAGCATGAGGGCAAGGCATGACAAAGAAGCTTAACATAAGGGCCTTAATCGACCAGGGTTTTGGCACCCACTATGCCACTACACTATACTATTAATAATGAACCCCCAAAATAGTACTGGTAATTACTTAGGCCGCAGGCCCCTATATTACCCGCAGCCGGTCCCCGGTTGACCCTCGCGAACTTTCAGTAGTAGGTTCTACAGCTGTCCACCATTCCTGACTGCAGTAGTTCCACCCTCAGCAAAGCCCTGAACCTGAACCAAAACTTTTGAAGCCGCATAGAGTTTCCAATGAAGTTTTTGGGGCTCAGCAATTCCACCTGGCTTTATATATATATATATATATGCATGCTGCAACCAAAGCCTCATGCAGTCCCCAATCAAACTCTTTCGATTCAGGAACCTGTATAACATGACCTGTACGTACATTGTGCATCACATAGCAAAAGACGGAATGCAAGGCTGCTGACGTCAGGAAAAGGTGGCTCTTCCAGACGAGACCTCGTGAAGTGCTTCAACCGTAAACCCCTTCATAGAATAGAGCCCCAGCCTTATTCCCTTAAGCTCCATGTGCCTATGCAGCATATACTTACGTGTTGAAAGAGCTGTTCTTATGTAGATACTCTGAAACCTAAGTATAGACTACTCTCTTCTTCAACAACCGGGCCCCAAAAAGTTCAAACTTTTTAAGATAGAGCTACCATATAAGGCAAAAAAGCTTAAAGTTCCCCCATTCACTGTCTAAGACTATGTAGGTACATGGAGCCTTACGGATTCCTTCCTGAACAGAAACCTCTTTGAAACCCTGGTTACTAAGTCCCATGAACCTCTAAGTAGACCCTAAACCCTGAACCCTATAATATAGATCCCTCTAAGGCGCCCTATGGACCCCTTTAAGAAGCCTTTTAAGGGGTACCCCGGCACTGATCTGGGGCCTGGGCCATTGGCATCTGCGGAACACCTTTTTGCGGGGCCCTAATCTTGAACTATAAGGCTCCATGTTAATGTACACGTGGGTGGTTGTCAAAATTATGGTCCCTTTTTGGGTCCCTATTATAATACGGCACCTAATATTTAGGGCACCCAAAAAAGGACCCCAATTTTGACAACCAGCCACATAGAGTCTGGACATTAGTATTCAAAGGGCTTCATACCCGAAAACTTGATTGCCAAGGTATATACTTTATATTAGGTAGATTGACCCTCAACTGTAATCCCGATTAACGCAAACCTTCGTTAAGATACACGTATAACATCTCTAAAGTCTCAGCCCCGCCCCTCACACACGGTCTGCAGTCCTTGCAAAGACTAGCGATTCAGCAGCTACAGCTCTCTAAGAACACCACCATTGAGGTGAATCCCCTAAGCTCCACTACGGTGAGCCCGCAGTCTCCTACTGCAATTTTCGCCGTTTCGAGGCGCCTCCCATGGGGCCACCCATCATTGGAGCACCATACCTTGCACGGCCGATAGTCGGTAATTGAACGGAAGGCGTCGAACAGAAGTCTGTTGTCTGCATCATATGTTGCCACTGCTCATACCATAACAGAACATATGTGACAATGTGCATGGAGTAGGGCACTTCAGGTCGTACTCCCATGTCATGCTGCGTGAGAGCCGCTTCTAAACCCCTATCGTACGCTTGAGCAACCTGGCATTTTATCCATCAGCAATCCCCAAACCCTAACCTGTAATCCTCAAACCATAAACCATTCCTAAACCCCTGAACCCTAAACCCCCCTGAACCCTAAGCCCCGGCAAAAATCTATAAACCCCTAAACCCTATTTTAAACCCCGAAAGTTCTATTAGATGCCAGTACTAAGGCCCCGAATACACCGAGTAACGGTGCAGGCTCCTGCTCATCGTCATGCCAGGGATCGGTGTCCCTGGGCTTCTATGGGAGTTTCCGAACACAGGGGAACCCTAATCCCTAATATAATAGTAGGATCCGTATGGTAAGGACCCAAAGGAGTGTAGTAGGGTTCAGGGTCTAAGGGTGTAGGTTTAGGGTTATGAACTGTAGGGTTCAGGGTTTCAAGGCGTAGGGTATATGTGCTAAAGATAGCGGGTCTGGATGATTAATTAGTGCAGGTTTTGGGCTATCTAGGTATAGTAAGGAGCCGTGAGGACTGGTATTACCAATGATTCAGGCTTCTTTGGTAACCTGTAGGGTTAGAGGCTTCTATTTCTAGAGTACACAACGTCATGGGGGTCCGCGTTTTCCGGATTGTTTGGTAAATAGCACGTGGTTCCTTAAGCCTGTAATACGGCCCCATGACGTGGTTTTCTGTGAACCGAAACGATCATCTACAAAATAAGAGGGGGCTTTGTTTCGGTGTCCTTCTAATCAGGGTGTCATTGTTTGGGTCATAAGCCGGGTGGCCTACCATCCGACAAGATCTCTACTTCGGAATAATGTGTCCAGATACGGATATCACGATTTAGGTGCATGGGTATGGGCCGTAGTGCGGCTTGTATTTGGAAGGGGGATTTGAATCAAGACCAAAATCCGAAAGCCTGCTAGCAACAAGCTCGCCACCCAAAAGCTACTGTAGAAACGACCACTCTGTAGGAAAACTCCTGCCTCAACATATGATAAGACCGCATATCAAGAACAAAAGCATGTGAATCAAGGTCCCACAACACTCAGGATTCAGACACTATACTGTCCCAGGCTGGCCCTGTAGAGTAATTTTGATCCCCTGCATAGTTATGCCAATACCCGAAGCTCTCATGAAAGCCTCCGCACCAAACCCAGGTTCCCACCTGACACCAAAACGTCGGTAATATCGAGACCTTGATACTTGGAATGGGGCCTCTGCCAGCACCGGGTCGTGTAGCGGGTCTGGGTGGGGGGGATAGGATAGCATAGCTATGTAGAAAACCTAGGGTTCTCGTGTATATGGCGGAATTACACACATGGGGACGATGAGGGGATAGTATTACTACTCATTCAGACCGTTATCGTCGTCCGAGAAGCGGATCGTATGGTTGCGCATACTGCGGCCTGGTGGCAGCAGGCATTGCTGTGTCTTCGGAGGCTGTAAAGGCGAGAACACAGAACCTCATCCCTGCCTGTATCCATATAGGCCCTGCAGCCCAAAATCCCGAGATGCTTGAGAATATTCACGCACTATGAATCCTAAAACCTTGTGGACTCACCAGTGATGCTGGGGTTTCAGCTTGAGAGCTTTGGTTCGATGCACCCCCCCCAATGATCCCTGCCTCATCACGACGTCACGATGCTGGTGACAGGAACTGTCTCCGAGGCGATGCTTTCGTCTACTCGTGGAGAAGCAGCGCCGCCATGATTAAGCTTTAGGGGTGTTTAGTGTTTAGGCTGCGCAAGTAGGGGTAGTCACAGCAGCAGCTACTGAGTGAAGTTAATATGTCATATTTATTGCGAATCTTGCCACTCTGCAACACTAGCATGGATCAGAAGCATCTGCTGCAGAAACGCTGGCATGGATGCAGAAACATCTGCTGCAGAGCCATTCCGACTGACTGACCGGACTGACTGACTGACTGCTCCGACTGACTCACCGACACTGTCTGACTCGAGCCGAAAACATGAACGATGAGGTTTGGGGCCGATCATATGTAGGGTATAGGGTATGGGGTTTAGGGTTCAGGAGTGTCAGGGCTTTGGTCAACAGCCCAAAGTCAAAGACTCTTTCCGACGGAAGGCCTTCTCCTTGTCAGTCGGCAACCCTCAACTCACGTGGACCCCGATGATAATCCCCTTATAGTCCCGACATAGAGATGCGCTACAAGAAACTCAGACATGTTTAACTTCAGACGGACGCTTTAAATACGGTTGCGAAGAATGCGTACTTGCTATACTCACGTCTGGGCCCGATCAAGAATCTTACTTAGAAGTAGCGTCGGCCTTCTGACATGCTGGATACCCTGAGGGTGCCAAGTAGCATATAATTACTTTGGCCGCTATAGGGAGTGCTTTAAGACCACTGTATTTTGGGCACATGGACCGGGATACTGAAAACCACACACTTCGAAGAGCTGGGTCCCAACATAGCGCATCAAAGTCGGAACTCGGGTTCTTGTACAACTGCAAGACAGGACTACTACTACTACTACTACTACTACTACTACTACTACTGCTGCTACTGCTGCTGCTACTGCTACTGCTACGCCTAATGCTACTGCTACGCCTACTACTACTACTACTACTACTACTACTACTACTACTACTACTACTACTACTACTACTACTACTACTACTACTACTACTACTACTACTACTACTACTACTACTGGACACCGTCAACCTACACGAGAATGTCTTGCTTTGAAAGTCCATAGGTCTGAGGCTTAAATTCGTCCCAGGCAGTCTGTCGTAGTTCGGGTCAATGTCATTGCGAATCTCCCAGCTGCTACGAGAAGCCTGCGAAACTTGGAACGCTTCGTGCATATACAGGATTCCAGGATTCAGGGTCACGTTGTAAATTTTGTGCCGGAGGTTCAGGGCTCCAGCCTTGTAGGTTTCCCCTGCAAAGGAACCCTAGGACCCCTTGTAATAGCGACCTTATACACCCCGAAAAGGAGCCCTTAAAGCCGCGCGGGGTTTCGTACGGTTTGTACATGGAGAAAAAACAACCCTGATGCACAAACATGCCAGAGGCCGCCCGCCCACCTTGGCATGTCTGAGTCTGGGTGCGGTGCTGGTTATCTACATACGGAGACGTCTCAAAAACTTGCATGAGGGACACCTCTAGTGCCGGAGCTCTTTCTGTGGAGCCGGCAGGCGGGATGAACTTGTATGTGTGTGTGTGTGTGCGCTTATCGTAATAAATAAAAAACAGATGAGACATAAGTGAATGGTTATGTGAAATGTGTGTATGTACAAAATATTTTTATTTGTACGTTCAGCCTGTGTATATACATACATACATATATATATATATATAAATATGCATGTATATATATATATATATATATATATACCGATGTTGTACGGTTAGAAGCAATAGCACGTATGCTGCATGCATGACAAGTTTGCATAGACGACACCAGCAATATCTACAGAAAGACAACATCCGCAATATCTACAACACTGCCTGTAAATCGCACTGCTGGGCTACAGCGAGAAGTAGAGAAGGGTTTCCAAGTTTGGGGTTTTGGGCTGGTTCCCTGTAGGGGTTGGCAAAAATCGGGTGTAGCTCTAGCATATATGACACATGTGTTTTCTTATTTTGTAGCACACGGAAACAAGCTAGTCCACAACGTAGTTCGAGCTGTCCCCTGGTCACAATTCGACCACAACCCCGAACCCAATTCCCCTAAACCCTAAACCCTAAACCCTAAACCCTAAACCCTAAACCCTAGACCCCAGAACCCTAGATCCCCAAACCCTCAAAGCCGCACACCCCGAAACCCGAAAGGAACCCTTCAAAGGAACCCTGCCACACGAAAGCCTCATCTTCGCTTGAATACTCGAAAACCCAAACCTGAAATGCTAATCCGCAAAACCCTCACACAAGATGAATCAGGATACTGCCCCAAATCCCGGCATCTTAGTTCAACGGGGATCCCAAAATTCAGAACAGGGTTTGCGGGCGAAGCTTCGGCTTTGCGGGTGACATTTGGTTTAGTTCTTGTAACCACTTACCTACCCTTAGACACCGCATCCTAAATCGTTATCCCGAAATCCTGTAGATCCCCAGTACTAAAAGCATAACCCCCACATCCGAGACCATTGCACCTAGGAGAGAACCCACAAAACCTGCTAAGCTCCCCACTCCCAGTCCCAAGGGTTCAAAGAGACTTTGGGCACGTTCTTTCCGCCCAAGACCTCACCCGTTGAAAACTGCTCAGGACTTTTGAGCTTGGCTCTGTGTGTGTGTGTATGTATGTACATATATATATATATAACATATATATATATATATGTACACACACATCATGTTTGTCAACTTGTATAATACTGATATTCATTGCTACTAGTGGTGTCCTTTCGTGAATAGAGTATAACAGGGCAAAGGCTTTTCGGTTCCTTTGCCCTGGGACTCGAGGACTTCAGTTCAAGCTGTATAGTCTCCATTGTAGTTCCTTTTCTGGGTTACCTTATAGGATCTCCAATGTCTACCAGGACCCTCCTTGTACCCTCAAATAGGGGTATATGGTCCCAAATAAGGGCATTTAGGGTCAAACAGAGGGTAGATGGAGGAGGGTCTAGGTAATTAGCTAAACCAAACAAGGAACCCTTAAAGGAACCCTCTTAAAGGAACCCTTAAAGGAACCCTATAGATCCCTTTAAGGAACCCTTAAACCAAACAAGGAACTACAATGGAGACTATAGGAATTTTCTCTCATCAAGCGCCATCTTCGGGACTGTAGGGTAGGGTTTGGGGCTTAGGTTGTAGGGTGTGTAGGGTTTGGGGTTTAGGTTGTAGGGTTTTTGGTTTAGGGTTTAGGGTTTGGGGTTTAATTAGGTTGCAGGGTTTAAGATTTAGGGTTTAGGTTGCAGGGGTCCTAGAGCTTTCATGTTCTGTTTCGCTCCATTCTGGGTTGTAGTTTCGGTGCGGAAAGGATGCGTGAAAAGTGTTTATGAACAGGTACCTCTATATGGGAGTTTCCGGAAACCAGGGGTACCTTATTTTGGGGTCCTTATAGTAAGGATCCCACTATATTCAGGGTACTACATCAGGGTCCCCTATTTTCGGAAACTCCCATATGGCCATGAGAGGAAATGATGTAGCATCTAGTACTTAGTGTTTCTTGATTAAAGCACGCTGGAGGTTTGGGAGCTTGTGTTCCAGGTGCAGGGGCTTCTATGTGGATGATCAGGAGTGCTTCCTGCAAGTATCGGGCAAAAGTGAGGAGAGTTTGGGTTAAAGTTAAGGGTTTGGGCATGACTGCAGTGCTACGCAAGGCATGGTGTTGCCATTGTCCAGCTCCAGTGTCAGTAAGATCAAAATTAGAATACGTGGATCCCTGCAGGACTCGCCTTCGCTACCGGGGCGACATGTAGCGGGATCTGTGTGGAGGCCACATAAGAGAACATGAAACCCTAGTTGCTCCGGAACCCCATGAAACCCAAAGCCCGAACAAAACTCAAGGCTGAACCCTGAACCAGTGACATGAACCTTGTTTGAACCCTAAATTGCAAATCTCAAGAAAGTGTGCAAGTCCTGGACCCTAAACCAAAAAGCCCTGCAGCCCTGGACCTGCCTTGATCGCATCCATCGCCCCCTCCGGGACAACCTCGGTAGAGCAGCGGCGTAAGAGCAGGGAAAGGGGATTTTTAGTCTTTATAGTGCTTTCTTGTGGTTCATATTAGGGGTTGTGTTTGTGATTCATACTAGAGTCACTAGAGGATTCTTCGTGGGGCCAGATAGCAAGGTTTCTTGGTGGTTTATGTAAAGGCTATTTTTGGAAGGCGGGCATAACGTGCTACTAAACGAAGGTAATACTAGTAAGAAAAGAGTTCGAGACTGTCTTGAACCCATGTCACCATTACGCTGCTCGAACCCTAAGCCCTTGCCCCTACACTCAATGGGTAGTTCTCTAAAACAAGGGTCCCAGTTGAGGCCCCAAAATGGTACGGCACCCGGTTAAATAGGACTTAGGACCCTTCAAAGGGACCGTAATTTAGAGAAGCAGCCCCATGTTTGGCCCCTGATGCCGAACAGCTATGATGGCCCGTAGCCCAAGGCACTTGCAAAACCCCGGCTGCTGGGAACAAAACCTCCTAATAATTCCTAACGTCCTGAAGCTGGGACTCCGGCGGCTTGAAGATTCGCTACCAGCGCAATGGAGAATAACGCCTGCTACATGAGCTAAGACTCGGCGTCAACAGGGTTGCTAGAAGCCCGCGGGTTCGGCAATCCGGCCGCCCTCAACTCCTAAACGCTGAAACACAACTCAAAGTCCCACAATGCCCCTTGAAAAAAGGCACCGACCCGCCTGTTCGTTATTATTCCTGTAACACACCCTGAGCGCTCAAATGCCTACACCTCCACCCCCTACCCCCCAACCTACAGAAACCCTTATGGAACCCTTGTTTATGCAAGTCTTGTTATGAAATCCTTATGCGACCCATATCGACTGCTCACAGAACCTTCACGGAACCCTCCTAATTAAGCCCGAGGGCGCCTGGTAGACGCAGACCGTGGGAACAAGCCGGAAGATCGGACCCAGGATCCGATCTGCCAACCTCAGGGCTTCGTTTCAAGTCTTCGGGATTCATCTGCCAGAGCTCTTTCGAGGT